CATCTATTCCCTCATATAAGTCATTTATGAAGATATTGAAGAGTACTGGGCCTAAGACAGAGCCTTGTGGTACCCCACTGCTTACTTCTCTCCATATAAATTAGTACCATTGAGGAAGAGTCGTTGAGCACGGTTTCTCAGCCAGCTACAAATCCATCTGGCGGTGATGTTGTCTATCCCACCTTTTTCTACCTTACTAAGCAGCAGATTGTGGTTTACTTTGTCAAATGCCTTGCTGAAGTCTAAATATACTATGTCGACAGCGTTTTGCTGGTCTACTAATTTAGTCACTTTGTCAAAGAATGAAATAAGATTGATTTGGCATGATCTGTTGTTAACAAACCTGTGCTGGCTACTAGTTATAACTTTGTTTGCTTGTAGTTGTTCGCAGATTTGTTTTTTTATTATCTTTTCCAGGATCTTCCCAGGTATTGATGTTAGACTGATTGGTCTGTGGTTTCCTGGTTTGTTTTTTTCTTCCTTTCTTGAAGGTGGGAACCACATCAGCCTTTTTCCAATCATTAGGTACTTCCCCGATACTCCAGGATTTTTGAAAGATGTGGTGCAGTCGTTCTGAAATAACATCTGCCAGATCCTTCAGAATTCTGGGATGTAATCTGTCGGGTCCCGGTGATTTATATTCATCAAGGTCGGATAGGTGTTCTCTTACCATTTTCTTGCTTATTATAATTTTTGTTTCTAGTTTGGTTTTTGGTATGTTGGGCTATAATTTATTTTTTTGTGAAGACTGATGCAAAGAATGAGTTAAGCAGCTCTGCTTTCTCCCTACTGCCCATTACTTCTTTGCCATCTTCTCTCTTTAGTGGACTTAGTTTCCTTGATTTTTTTTATTATTATTAATGTGTTGAAAGAAACTTTTTTTTTAATTATCCTTGATTTCAGTTGCAAGTCTTTGTTCATTCTGAACCTTTGCTTTTCTGACTTCACTGAATCGGTAGCTAATTTTTTGTTCACTTTGATGAACCGGCTGAAGCCCTAGCCCTTTTTTGCAAGGCCCAGAACAGACCACCAGAAGTGCGTGGATGCTACTTTTGGAAGTCTGTTCTGAGCCTCAGAGACCCTGGGAAGGCCTCGCAGGCCCAGAACAGCCCAGCAGAAGCACATGGACGCCACTTTCAGAAGTCCGTTCTGGTTCTCAAAGGCCCAGGCCCAGAACTGACTTCTGGAAGTGGCATTCACGCAGAGAACTGGTTTTTCAGGTATTTTAATCCCACTATTGTTTATTTCTACTTCTCTCCTCCACCTTTTGGATGACAAAGTTGTTGGCTAGGTTGGTTAGGAATCTGTTTGATCTCCCAATTGCTGCATACTTTGTCTCCCAGTTGATATCTGAATAGTTGAAGTCTCCTACTGTGATATGCTTCCTATATACATTTGTTAACCGGTTGGCAAAGAGTTCATCTATTTCTTCTGATTGGTTGGTTGGCTTGTAAGATACACCTATGGCAATGTCACTTTTCCCCCTTTTATATTGACCCATATACATTCTGGAGGGATTTTATCTTTGATCATGTGCATTTCTGTAGATATGTAGTGTTCTCTTACATATAGTGCAACTCCCCTTCCTCTTTTTGTAGATCTGTTTCTTTTGAACAATTTGTATCCATCCATCAGTACATTCCAGTCATGGGTTTTGTCCCACTAGGTTTATGTAATCCCAACTATGTCATACCTGCCCTCGTGTACTATTCTAATTTACCCTGTTTGTTCCCCAATCTTTGAGCATTTGTATATAAGCATGTAAGACTTTTATGCCTGTCTGTGGATATGTTTTCTGCATCACCTAATTGTTGTTTGAATTTTTCTTTTTTCTCATCACTCCCTACCTCATTGTTTGATTTGTTTTCTTGGGATTTATGATTGGTTTTGTGTTCTAGAGATTCTAAAGATTGATCACCCTTCCCCCTCAATTTTAGTTTAAAGCCCTTCTGATGAGTTGGGCCAGTCTTTTTCCAAGTAGATTTTTCCCTGTTTTCGTGAGGTGCAGCCCATCCCTTGCCAAGAGCCCTTCATGTAGGAAATGCAGTCCATGGTACAGGAAACCACAGTTTTCTTGGCGACATCAACCCTTTAGCCAGTGGTTTATTTCTAGAATTCTTTTTCCCCTCAATGGGTGTTGGCCTTTCATTGGGAGTACTGATGAGAACATTACTTGTGCTCCTAGCTTCGTAACTGCCATGGTTCCGATAGATGAGACCAGAAGAAATAAGAACTCTGAGGCATTTGTTTTCCTCAAAGAACAATTTTAATGGCTACATAATATCAGCATGAACATAGGGTGAAATCAAGACTGGAAGTCCCCCCCCCAAAAGGTTACAAAGTAAAAGTAAACTACCCACCCATTAAATATGTAATAAATCACATTCCCCAATTAACACCTTTGGCGGGCTCTCTAACGGTAATTCTAGCCTGCCAAACACTTGAGCAATTTGACCTTGTTTCCCGTAAGACAGTTATTGTTTTGACTGAACTGGAAGAATGCATTTTCCCTCCCCCCATAGCTGTGGCAAGCCAAAAAAACAGAAGAAAGATGGCTGTAACCAAAAGTAGTTTTGTAGGTTTGACAGTAACTTTATTGCCTAGTTGCTTAATAATCTCTCAATATTGTACTCAGATTCTTTGATGTGTCATTCGTCCCAATGTGAAGGAGGAAAAGATAGTAATCTGTGGGCCTAATTATTTTGGTTAGGTTCTCAGCCACATTTTTTATTGTTGCTCTAGGGAGATAATGTATCTCCCTGGATTCTATGTCCGGTCTGCAGATGGCTGATTCTGTTCCTTTGAGGGGGTGCAATCTGGAGTGCTTTTCTGTTTGATTCTGGTGTATTTGTTGATGTGACTTTTTAGGGATATTTGGTGATGTTTCTTTGCTAGGTGTCTGCATATTTTCTTTGGGGGGAGGTTGTGGGTCTGCATATTTTCATCTAGGGGAGAAATTGATTGCTCGGTTTTAATGGGGCTGCTTCTGGTTGGGTTAAAGTTGGCAGTAGGGGTTTATTAGATCTATGCTGCTTCTTTCTTTGATTATTGTGTTTCCTTTTATGAGTGACATACCTCCATTTGTCTTTCTCATGGGTTTATCAGTAGGGTCAAATCCTCTGGGAATTATTTGTTCTTTATTTGGCTCGGTTTGGCTATAGCTTTCTTGTGTAGGTTGGAGTTTGGCTGGAGTTGACTCTAAGTCCCTTACTTTTTCCTCTAATAATTCACATAGTTTACATTAAATGCATGTGTAATTTGAGTGTTCTTTGGGCATAACACATATATGGAACATGTATTGCATACCACAATAGTATCAATCACCTGTTCCATAAGTTTGTTGTTTGAAAATCCCTCTTTTTTGGTTGGTGGATGTGCTTTGCTGTTAGCCTTCTTTCAACGTTCTCTGTTCTAGGTAATTATGCCTTTTTTTCCCTATCCTTTTTTCTGCCTGTTTGTGCTTGTTTTTCTTCCTTGTTATTTATTTAACCTTCTTACTATTATGTTAGTTTTATTTATCCTTTTCTTTCCTCTATTTTTTTAACGTTTTTGAGCTCCAATTCCTCCCTACTTTATTATTTAAGATTTGCCTTGTTAAGATTTGCCTCTTTATTAGTCCTATTCTTCCTTGATTTCTAATGCTCCAGTCTTGTCCTTATTATTTGCCTTTTATTTTTTATTTTCTGTCCTGTATTTATTTTTATTCTTTACTGGGGTCTTCCCTCCCTTCCTATTGGGATCTCAAACTTAATTGTTGCCTTCACTTCCGTTGTTCACTGCTCTGGCCTATTGTCATTTTCTCTGCCAGCTCCATTCTGTCTTTCGGTGCTCTGGCCTTTTCAGCCTCGTCTCTGCTCTGGTCAAACCTGCTGTTCAGCTTTCCGGACAGCTCACCTCTGCTATCTGGTCTGGTCTGCTCAGCCGGCCACTCAGTTTTGGAGATCAGAGCTCTCTAACTCAATGCACCTCTGTTGCTGCTGCTGTGCTACCCATCTTGTCTGCTGTTCAGCCACTGATTTGCTGCTCTCAGTTGCCTCTTTTACAGCATTGGGCTGCTTAGTTGGGCTCCTTAGCTGGATCTGTCATTCTCTGTTGCTGGCTGCCTCTGACTCCACGTGCAGTCATTCATTCGCTGTGCTGCTGTTTTGCTGGTGTTTTTGTCCTTACCCCAATTTCTTCTTTTCCTTTATCCTTTTTATCTTCCTTATCTAACTTTCTGCTCCTTTTTCCTCCCTTTCCCCCCCTCTCCTTGTACCTTCCTACTTAGTTTAGTAATTTCTCTCCCCATGATCTGATACTGCTTCCTATGCTGCTGCCATCTTGGCTCATATTTAGTAGTGTGAAGAATTGTAAGCAGTGTGACAGTAAAATTTGATTGACCCCATGGTTTAATATTATTTTCAATAGTCCAAAGGTGCTTTTTGAACAGGCAACTAGAACTTTCTTTGTTTTTGCTTGAAGACATTTCACTTCTCATCTGAAGTTCCCTGCTTAGGTAAAAAGCAGATGCTGTGCATTCTGGATTTGAATGAGCATGCTACTTGAAATGCAAACTGCTGAAGTGAAGGTGATGATTACTCATATGACTCCAGATAGAACTTGTTCTCATTTGAATCTATTATGCAGAATTTTTCAGTGGTGTAATTTGATGAGGATTATAGTAGGTAAGAAATCCAATAGAAATTATCCTCATTGACCTTTAAAAGCACTCTGGTAGTAGTGCTTGAGACCAATCTGTTAATGTTTAAAGATTTTTTAAATAGATCTTTGAATCAATGTTTGTGTTTCTTTTTCTTCATTCTCCATCTCATTAAAAGCAGCTAAATCACTGTGATATCATTTGAATTTTTTTTAGAATAGCAAAAGGAATTGTCTTTCTTTCCATTTAGAATATAATTTTCTCTTGATCTGAATTTTTTCTAATATTTTTGCTAAAGAAATTTGCTAAAAGTATATTTTTCTTTTCTTAAAAAATAATTTAGGCTTTTTGTTTCTCTTAGGATTTCTTGTTACAGATATTTACTGTTTTTCGAATATTAATACAGCCAGAAATGTTTCCAAAAGATTGGACAGTGATGCGTTTAGTTGCTAACAAGTAAGATTTCTTAAATACAAATATAATCATAATATGGGTCTATCTTTGTTGAGATTGTGTGCTTATTACTTTCTGTTTACAAAATGCCAACAAATTTCATTTCCTTATAATACAGCCAAGGAACCTCACAGCTTTTTCTAACTTTATGATCTTATTTGAATATAACTATTTTATTGTCTGTTTGTCTTTCTATCTATCATCTATTGTGTTTATAATTGATAGTTAATGAGACTACCAATGAGACCTCTATTTTATTCCAGTTAAACTTTAAATATTTCCCTTCCTCTAGTGAATAACAAAAGATGTGCATTAAACTAAAAGTGTTTTTAAGATCAGCATAAAACCGTCCTATCAATAAGTTTCAAGTTGGCAGCATTCTCATAAGACAAAACTTTGAATATTGTGTATTTAGACAGAATAAAATGCCTGTCTGTTTCCCCGGGGTCATCAACAAACTAGATTCTTTTTTTAACACTGTTGCCTAACTATTCTTTGACAATATAACACAACAAACAAACAAATAGTATGATTGCAAAAAAAAAAAGCACTCAAGATAACAGAGGCGCAATCTAGATGACATCCAAATTGAAACCAAGAACTTGTTATAATTTGAAATGAATCTGAGATGGGGTGGGGAGATGCCTAGACAGCTTCAGCTATTCATTTTTTCAGCAAAATCGTCCAACTTCAGTTTTTTTTTCATTCAGTCAAATTATTTTAAATGTCTACTGTTTTTCCCCATTAGCAATAAGCTATGACCAGTTCCTGCTGCTATTTTGTTAAGGCCTGGGGCAAGCAGTGGGGCATTGTTCTAATCAACAACAATAACAAAATAATATTGCAATGCAAGTTACAAACAATGTTTTCTGAATGAAATGATCAACCTTTGGGATTGTAGCAAAAATGGCTGCTTTAATTCTGACTGGAAACAAAACTCTGAGAACAGATATTGTACAAATATTTGGGTTTTATAATACTGTACAATAAGTGAACGTAAAAATGTTCTGCATGCCACCATTGAATAATACTCATCATGCTTTCATGCTGATTAGATGTTAGTTCAATTATATTATACCACTGCAATTAATTGTCTTTCCAATGTGTTAGCAAAGTATATTTATTAGGACTTCCTGGGTCTAATTCTCCCTGATCCCTACCCCATCTCCACAAATCCTATGGTATTTTGATCATATAGTGTATTTGCAGAATAATCCAGTTCAGGGAGCAAGACAGAGTTAATATTTGGGTAAGCACAAGAAAAATTCTTTGCAAAAAATGGATTTGCCTGAGAATGTCCAGATATTTAAACCTTTAATTCAATTATGCAAAAGCTCTGTGATTTTGAACAAAAGGGATGGTTCTGCATTAGAGAGAGCACAAGTGTTTAAATTTAAATTTCATGCCAAAGAGAAAACAACAGTTGGGACAAACAAACCTAGCAATACACACTACGTGTTAACTAATTCTATTCCATTGTTCTCCCTAATACATTTTGTGAGTTTAAGAAATATATTGAGAATATTTCATAATTTTACAGAATGAGGTTCAAAGTATGTATTATAAAATTTATAGACTCCTATTTCAGACCATTTTAAATATTTATATTTGTAGCTTGCACTCTGTAAACAGTTTCTTGTATTAATAAAAAATCAGAACAAAGATATAAAACAATATGTATATTGGTATGTAAACAATTAAATATATAATCCATCTTTTGTTTTTCTACTAGTGTTATTATTACAACAGTGTTATATCTTTCTGATGCCCTTCGCAAAAACTTCTTAAATGAAAATTTTGATTACAAGGTAAGCTGGCAGTTGGTTTGCATTATTTTATGCATGTTTTTATTTAAAGCATTTGTATAGCCTCCCATCTTAAACCAAATTCTAGATGGCTTACAATCAATTATGAAGCTCTTTCTTGTCAAATGCTTTTTAAAATTGTTTCTCCAGTTTAATCATCTTATTCCAGTTTATGTGTCAGCAGTAGCAGCTATTCTACACCACAGATGAGAAAATATCTCAATATATGTAACATTTAATTAAAATGGGCTTTGCATTTAATATTTATAATAATAATAATAAAGTTGGAAGGTACCTTGGAGGTCATCTAGTCCAACCCCCTGCTCAGGCAGGAAACCCTGTACCATTTCGGACAAATGGCTGTCCAGTCTCTTCTTAAAAACGTCCAGTATTGGAGCATTCACCGCTTCTGGAGGCAGGTTGTTCCACTGGTTAATTGTTCTAACTGTCAGGAAATTTCTCCTTAGTTCTAGATTGCTTCTCTCCTTGATTAGTTTCCATCCGTTGCTTCTTGTCCTGCCTTCAGGTGCTTTGGAAAATAGCTTGACATCCTCTTCTTTGTGGCAGCCCCTGAGATATTGGAACACTGCTATCATGTCCCCCCTCGTCCTTCTCTTCATTAAACTAGACATACCCAATTCCAGCAACCGTTCCCTATATGTTTTAGCCGCCAGTCCCCTAATCATCTTTGTTGCTCTTCTCTGTACTCTTTCTAGAGTCTCAACATCTTTTTTACATTGCGGTGACCAAAACTGGATGCAATATTCCAAGTGTGGCCTTACCAAGGCATTGTAAAGTGGTATTAACACTTCACGTGATCTTGATTCTATCCCTCTGTTAATGCAGCCTAGCACTGTGTTGGCCTTTTTGGCAGGTGCAGCACATTGCTGGCTCATATTTAAGTGATTGTCCATTAGGACTCTGAGATCCCTCTCACAGTTACTACTATTGAGCAAGATATCCCCTATACTATACCTGTACATTTGGTTTTTCTTGCCTAAATGTAGAACCTTGCTTTTTTCAACATTGAATTTCATTTTGTTAGATAGTGCCCAGTGTTCAAGTCTGTCCAGATCCTTCTGTATCTTAAGCCTGTCTTCTCGAGTGTTGGCTATTCCTGCCAGCTTGGTGTCGTCTGCAAATTTGATGAGTTCCCCATCTATCCCCTCATCCAAATCGTTGATGAAGATGTTGAAGAGCACTGGGCCCAGAACAGAGCCCTGGGGCACCCCACTACACACTTTCCTCCATGTAGATGTGGTTCCATTGAGGACCACATGCTGAGTACGGCCGGCCAGCTAGCTACGGATCCATCTGGTGGTGATGCTGTCTACCCTACCTTTTTCTATCTTGTCAAGTAGTAGGTTGTGATCTACTTTATCAAATGCCTTACTGAAGTCCAAGTAAATTATATCCACAGCATTCCTCTGATCCACTAATTTTGTCACTTGGTCAAAGAATGTAATAAGATTTGTCTGGCATGATCTGTTTTTGACAAACCCATGTTGGCTTTCAAAAATTTCATATTTGAGTGATGATGACTAAGAATTAATTTTGATTTGGACTTGTACTTTAAAACAGTTCTCCAGACTTGTATGATATAATATTAAGGAGATAGACATCTGGAAAATTCTGGTTGTGGAAAATTTATTATTTATATATTTTAAAACATTTATATAATAAAAGTTTATACCAAACTCTGGGGAGCTCCCAATTGATTTTATTGAATATTTGTCTTCACAGCATCTAATTCCTTTTAACTGGGAATAATACTGGTCCTAAGCTCTACTTTTATAATAAGATATGGTCTTTATAATATGGTCATATACAATACAGAGAAGAGCAACTAAGATGATCAAAGGCCTTGTAACTAAAGCATATGAAAAATGGCTGTAGGAATTGGGTTTGGCTAGTCTAAAGAAAAGAAGAAACAGGGCTGACATAATAGCAGCATTCCAGTATTTGAGCGGCTGCCACAAAGAAGAGGGAGTCAAATTATTCTCTAAAGCACCAGAAGGCAGGACAAGAAACAATGGTTGGAAACTGATCAAAGAGAGAAGCAACCTGGAATTAAGGAGAAAGTTCCTAACAGTGAGGACAATTAATCAGTGGAACAGCTTGCCTTCAGAAATTATGGGCACTCAATCACTGGAGATTTTTAAGAAGAGACTAGACAGTCACTTATCTGAAATGGTATAGGGGGCTGGACTAGAAGACCTCCAAGGTCCCTTCCAGTTCTATTCTATTCTATTCTATTCTATTCTATTCTATTCTATTCTATTCTATACAACACAATATATTTATAATAATATACTTTAATGTTTATAATAAGAGAGCCAGTTTTCTGTAATGGTAAAGGTGCTGGCCTGGAAACCAGGATATTATGAATTATAGTTATGTTTTGGGCATGAAAGCTGGCTGGTTGATCTTGGACTAGTCACTGTCTTTCAATCCAACAGACCAAACAGAGATGTTTTCTGCAGGAAATAGGAGGACGAAGGAGTATTAATATATTCACTACCTTGAGTTATTTACAGAAAATAATAATGGTGGGATAAAATTCTAACAAATAAATATTCACCAGTCATTTTTAAAACACACTGAGACATATAAACAAATAAAATAACATTTACAAATATAATAAGTGAAAGAAATAAAAAGCAAAAATTAGCAAATTGTAATTCAAGAGGTTTTCAAACACTGTAACATTTATTAGAAAAAATCAAAATGACATTGATATAAATTTACATATCAATATCTTTTATGACATTTTCAAAATTGGAATCAGTATAAAAATAATCTGATTATTGTATAATCATTGACAGTTATTTATAATATGATTTAATTTATACATGATGAACTTAGATTAGAAATGAAGTTACAATACGTTCTGTCTAACTTAGAATCAGAAAAAAGTGAGAAGTTAAAAGTTGGGGGGGTGGAGCTAGCTTGAATGGACATGGAAGCTGAATTTCTGCCTCCTCTGGACCATCACAGAGAGTTGATTAAGAAATATAACACCCGACTTCCAGTTTCAGATTGCGGTGTGTGCAATCGTGCGGAGAGCTCCGTCTCTTCGCCAGCTGCTTTCCCTCCGCCGGCTGACCCTTAATCGGGTCGAAAAGTCACCCTGGAGGAGCGACCACTGTCGAGGAGGCCCTCGTTGACCGCGGAAGGGCAGCAGCCCCTTCCACGGTCCGAGCTAGCTCCTTAGGGCTGTTGGAGAAAAGATCGGCCAGTAAAATGGCCGATCACCCAGCTGTGCCAGCCAAAAGTCAGAAGAACAGCTAAGCGTGAAGAACCACCGTGGAGAAATCTGGGTGAGACCTTTTCCTCCCTCTCTTAGCCCCAACTATTTTCCTGTAAAAAGCCTCTGAATGACTTCCCTGCCCTAATAGAGCGGCGTTTGTTTACTTGGGAAAAAAAAGCTTTGAACAAGACTATAAAACAGTAAATTTTTATTGGATATTTAATTTTTTGGATATTTTGGGGCCCTGAAAAAAAAATCTTATCATAGAACATTATTGTTATTTTATCTACTATGCTGGAGATATTTGCTTTTTTCTCTCTCTATTTTCCTAATGAGAAAAAAAAAATTAAATCGGAAAAAAAGATTTTATAGCCTACTGAGGACATCTTGTGCTGAAAAGTGTTACTGCAATTGTACTTTCTCGGTGTTTGAAGATGGATTTGACCTTCAAATGATAATAAAAGGGAAAAGATAAAGGCCTTGAAGCAGCTGTGGGCTGAATTTGCTTACTAGAAATTCTGGAGGTGGATATTTGTTGATTTCTAATAAATATAGCTTCTACTAAAAAATTAAAAGACTATTTTATCATGGAAATGGAGGAATCTTACCCACAGCTTGATTATGAGCTTATATTGGAAAAAATCCTGGAAGCTACAGAGTACATGAAATCTTGGAGAAAAATTAAAGATCATTTTGCAGAACCACAAACTGAATTTCAAATTTTAATGGACCAACCTATAGGCCAAGGAACAATATAGAAGGAACAGACTAGCTTTAAAGAGGCCTATATGCAACAGTGCATACAATTTAAAGAGATGGAGGAAGAAGCTATTGATCAATTGAGCTCTAGAAAAACGCTTGACTTAAAATCTCAAACTGAGACTCTAATTGATCATTCCACAAGTCAACTAATCACTACAGAAGAGGATATTTCACAACCCTACATACAAATTATGGAGAACTCTGATGATCAAATAATGACTTTAACTGAAATACTTGCAGTCTTAAAAACAACAGGAACTGACATTCAGATGCGATCTATTGAAAGCGGTGATAATCTGGATAATCAACTAGTAACTACAACATGGAACAAAATTGACTATACTAGCCAGATGATACTGGAAGAAGGGGAAGAGAACTTAGACCAGATTGATGTGTCAATAAATACCCGTACTCAAATACTGAGATTTGATGGTATAGATGCGGTATTATGGAAACTGGCCTGGCACAGAAAGAAAGCTAGAGTTAGATTTAAAAATGTGATTTAAAATTTTACTTAATGGGTTAAAAAGGCTTTAGAGATCTGGACTGACCTAACAATTAACTGAGTATGTGAAGTTAGCAAGATGATATTTTGTGTAACAATATGCTTGTTTTAGATATGATAATTATTTGGATGAAATTTAAATCGTACCTAATGGGCTGAAATGATTTTTTTTGCTTATATAGAAATAGATTGACTGATAGATTATATATTTAAAATAGAGTAGAGTAATATTTTTATTTTAAGTAGGATAACTATTTTGTAGTGGAAGAACAAATAAGAGAGATTTGTGATAAGAGAAGAATTGGTACTAATCAATGACTTATTAGACTAAGAATTAGAATATGTTTGGAAATATATTTGGAAATAGAATGTTACTGTCGGAATATTATGTGTATTGTAGAAGGGATACCCGAAGTGCTAATAATATGTTTATTCAAGATTAAATTGGATTATGGTAATTGTAAATTAGTAAAGCTTAAAAACGAT